CCCCTTTTCCGGCGGGTGCCTTACCTCCCTTGGGCTGGGCCAGCTGGTGGTCGGCCTGCTCCGTCTCTGCCGCTTGCCAGCTACACCTCGGCCGGTGCAGGGGGCGGAACCACGCATGCGCGGCGCTCCCGGGCAGGGAAAGTCCTCGACTTACGACCGGTTGGGTAGTCCTCGACTTACGACCGGTTTAGTCCTCGACATACGACCGGTTTAGTCCTCGACTTACGACCGGTTTAGTCCTCGACTTACGACCGGTTTAGTCCTCGACTTACGACCGGTTGGGGTCGCGGCATTAAAAAGGTTGAGAACCACTGCTCCAGGCAATCAGCCCATGGAACTTTCCCACACAAGATCTGCCGGCCTTTCTACCGAGGGGCCGGCTAAACCTGTACAGGATGTCTTGCAGACGCAGCCTGGGGAAAGGGCAGCCTCCCTCCGGCTCTTGCTGCCCACCGGGAGAAGAAAAACCTCCCAGCGGATGGACGGACGGATGCCGGGGCTGGACCCAGCAGGGCTCTTTGGCCTCCCGGGGCAGCCAGAGCCAGCAGGGACAGACCGGGGGGGGGGAAAGAGTGGCGTGTCCTTCTGGGAGGGGCTGGGTAGGACCAGCCGGATCCCCAGAGAGGAAGAACGGATCCCGCTGGACCCAAGGCCAGCACAGGCATGCTGGGCTGGAACCACAAGCCTTTGGGCCCCTTGGGGCATCTGCTTACTTCCCCCCCACCCAAAAAAGGCAAAGTTGGGTGTGTTGGGAGGGGCAGAAATCAGCTGCCTCTCTGGCAGCCATTTTGTGAGTGTGCTCATGACCTGATCAAATCATGGCTCCGTTGGTCTAACTTTAGGACACTTGTTTGCTAATGCTGGCGATCCCAAGGCAGCTTTTCTGTCTCCAGCCTTTTTTCCCTTGGGGCTGCTGCAGTTCAGTTACTGCCTCAATGCCTGTTACAAAAATGATGTGACTGAATCAAGATTTAGTTGGTTTTTTAAGGGAGGCGCATAAACGCATCCAATAAACTGTGGTTTCTAGATGGAGGCAGCAGTCAGTCTTGGGGGCCTCCCCAAAGTTCAGCAAGTAATATGGATGGAGGCCCCAGGTGTGGCTGGGAAGTTGTGAAAGGCATCTGTAGGAAATCAAAGGAAAACAAGAAGCCAGGATTTAACTGGGAAATACCACTCAAAAAGCCTCTTGAGGCAATGGTAACTTCCACAATTCCCTGGGGGAGGATTGATCACAGATGCCACTCTGCACTGAGAGAGAATAAGAAGGGATCCACAGGGAATTTCCAAAGCTTTGATTTCCTCCCTCCCTCCCTCCCCCCCCTCCAGAAGCAAAACTGACTCAAGAGCGCTAAGCTCTGGAGAGGAGATGGGGAGCCTGTGGGGGAGGGTCATGGACCATCCTAGGCAGGAGGGGCCCGGTGCCACAGATTTCGGAAAGAGGGGCTCCCAGTGGCCTCTCTGGTTGGACCCGCCACAGGGCGCCCTGGCAGGAGGGCATCTCCCGCACAGGAGATACTCACTTGGGTAGCGGGGGTAGAATTCATTGTCCAGAGGGTGTTTGCTATGCAGCTGCACCTCCTCGTGCCACAGCCGGGGGCTGGTGTGGCTGTCGTACTGGACGAAAAAGGCGAACAGGAGGATAGTCGCCAGCTGCAGGAGAGCGCAGAGCAGGGGCAGCTTCACTCTCAGGTTGGTGGGGTGGCCGGACATGATGGGAGAGCCGTGCAGAGGAGAGCCAGCCGTGAGCGCACCGCGAGTGCCGGGAGAGGCTGCTCTGCTTTCCTGAGCACCTTTGGAGGAGGAGGAGGAGGAGGAGGAGGAGGAGGAGGAGGCACCCTCCTCGGCTGTTTGCTCACTGCTTACCCTGGCCGGGAGCCACCTGCTCTGGGGCGGGGCCGGCTGGGGAAGTGTTGGGGGGGGCAGGGAGAGGGGGAGTTGCAGGCGCGTCCCAGCCAGGTGAGGGAAAGCTGGCTTCGGCACCTTCTGCCTGCCAAAGGGCGAAGGAAGTAGGCTGGCCTTGGCATCTAAGGGGCCGTGCAATTGGGGGACTCCCTCTTTGAACCCCAGGGGTCCTGAAGGAAGGGTGTTCCTGAAGATACAAAGAAGGACCCGGAGACACCTCCCCAATCTGGATTGTGCCAACTGCTCCCCATGGCATCGCTGTCCTGGTGGCCCCGGGCGTTTGGTCAGGGAGGGGCAGGGCAGGAGGCCCAGAGCCTTTTCCCCAAAACCAGCCCCAGTTTGTCCATGGAGAGAAAACAGCCCCAAAGGCTTCCCTGCAAAAGAGGTTCTCCAGACCACCCAGAGGAAGTCCGTGGCTTTCGTGGTCGGAAACTGAGCGGCCACGGGAGACGGGGGGAGATCCCTGTGAAGTGGACGAGTTGCAACAGGGTGTTACAAATGGTGTGATGCTGTGGCCAGCATGCAAGCGGGTCAGAGGGGCCTCATCCTGAGCCTGGCTTGGAAGGAAGAGGAGGATGCTGGGCTCCTGTGCTGCCCCCTCCCAAATAGCCACCACGCATCTGTTTCTGACCTTTGTGTGCCTCCCTGTTCCCATAAGGACCTCGGTTTTCACCCGTGTCGCCAGGTAGGGAGGCACTGCTCCAAAGAGGCTCTGCTGAGCAGGTCAGATTCTCTGGGTGGCCCTTGCGCACAGCAGAGGGCCCTGGGGACATTGCCCCCCTTGGCTCCCTCACCACTGACCCCCAGACTTTTCTCTTGCTCCCATAGCCGGGCAGATGCTGCCTTTTGCCCTAGATTGGAAAGCAAAGGGCATCCAAGTGAAAGAAGCCGTTACCCAGTTAATCATTAAGCTTGCCGCTGGGGTCTGTTTATCTTTATTCCTCATCTGTGACATGTTGTTTCAAGGTTTTGCAATCTCTCCTTGTGGTGGGCTCTGCTCCTGGGACGCTCTGCCCCCACCCCTGAGGGCCTTAGCAGATTCTCTCCCCCCCCC